TCTATCTGGCCGCTAACGAGTTCTGGATTTCTCCACTGACGGTCTTCATGGCTTGGCAAAGTGCTCCTAGACCTCTGATTGGGAGAGGATCCAGTCCGGCGCGTCCACAATCATCAGCCCGTGGGGTTTCAAGGCGTGTGTTGGGAAGCTCCGCTATCAGTCGACGTCATGGGACATGTCGAAGTTGCAGTTTCCATGGTGTTGGCAGAGGCGAGGAATGTCAACATAGCTAAGATTGGAAAACCAGATGGTAACGGCTGAGGTGAGATCCTGGACGCGATGAATACATTGCTTCACGGACTGCCGTGTGGTTTTGGCTGCGAGACTTTTCCTGTCCAAACCGCATGCACGGTGCCCGTGAGCCTGGTGATCGGTGATTTGCAACAGCAGCATAGGCAAGTGGGGGCGGCACCACTGGAGGACCTCAACTTTCGTGGTGATCCTTGAGTACCGCGTCGTGATTTTCAGGGTAAAAACCACTAGTGCAGAACTGGCCTTTAGTGCCGGTTCGTAACGGCCTTTAGTGCCGGTTCACCAACCGGCACTAAAGAGTGTGGACTAAAGGTCCCCCCCTTAGTACCGGTTCGTCACGAACCGGCGCTAAAGAGCCACCACGTGGCACGAGCCAGGCCCGGGTGCGTGTAGGACATTAGTACCGGTTGGGAACACCAATCGGTACTAAATGTTTGAGAGGGTTTTGGCTTTATTTTCCATTTAATTCTTTTTTGTTTGATGGTATTTCATGATACTACAAATTGTACACGTTATGCATGTATATAAATAGATTTTCTCGTACGTAGAACCGCATATATATAATATATATCATCGAATGTCTCATAACCAACACCATTAACTATTCACACATACACATGTATATACATATACAATTTCTCCTACATGTTGACTTGGTGCCTTCGGAGCACGATGACAAGTGGTTCATGGGGCGGTAGCGGGTAATGGTATTCTCCTTTGGGATCTATGACCCGGTCGAGCAAAAATCCGGCTATTTCCTCTTGAAGTGCTAGTATGTGGTCCGCTGGTAGGAGCTTATCCCGCACCTCTCTGAACTGTTAAGAAGGAGATCAATATGCATGTGTATTAGTTGTGTTACAAGATATTGATAATGGTGTGAATAGTGTTCTGACAAACGTATCCAGTCCTGTCTTTGAGATCTGCTCCTTTCGGACGCCATCATGCGAATGTTCTCACAAACATAGAATGCACACAGATCATTCCCCGGCGCCTGCTTCAGGGCCTTTACGAGAATGAAATTGAATCAGATAATGATTAATCAAGCATGATAATTAATTAATGGTATTGAAACAAGAATTAAAGAGATGGTAGCTAGCTAGTACTACTTAATTACTTACCTTTGGTCGATGCCAAAACAACTTTTTTGGCCATTTGCCTGGAGTCACCTTGATGAACTTTGCCCAAGCCCTGCCCGCCAGCAAAGAAAATTAATAAAGGGGTTATTAAATAATTCATATCAGGAAATGACGAACTGATAATAGGCCGAGATATAGTTAATAATGATTGAAATTACCTGTTGACTATCCCGTTCATGATGGTGTAGTCTTTATCTTCTTTAAGTAGTGAGTCCAGTACTTCAACTGTTGCTTTGTCAACTTTAATGTCTAACAAGATCCAGTAGAAACTGCATGCGCACACGTTTGCATGTCTTAATTAAGCGGGCATGTGCATAAAATTAATCAACTATCGTAAACCATATACACTTAATTATTAACATCTAGCTAGCTAGTAAGCAAAACCAGAATTTGTATTAACTCACAGGAAGTTGTAAGGAAGTAGTATATCTTCATTGGTATTGAGGCGCTTCAAGAACTGTAGCATGCTTTCCTCTACACTTGCTTGAGAAGTTGGACGAGGATGAGGGCCGACGGGGACGGATATCAAAATCATGGCACTATGTATAACAAACAACGTGCGAGTAAGATAATTATACGAGTAACTATATGTCCAAATCACACAAACATCAATTTGGTAATGTAAAACATTCATGAACAAGAGCCTCACCACAAGGTGGTGCCGACGACGGGACGGTGCGGGCGATCGACGGTGGTTATGACGGAGATTTAGAAGGCACTAAGTAAACCACACCTACATATGCAAACTAAGTGTTATTTTTACCTCAAATTGCATATAAATCAAATACTAGCACATATAATTCCTCCCACATTAATCACTATACAAAGCATTGCAAGAGCTAATCTAGCAATGAGAGTTGAAAGGACAAAGTTGCTAACCTTTGTGATCATTTGAATGGATGGGGGCCTTCAAATCTTGACAAATTTTGGGCAAAATTTGTGAGGAGCTCGAGGAAGAGAGGGGAAGAACAGAGGAAGCGAGCTCGGGTGGACGAAGGGTTTATGTACGTCGACCTTTAGTACCGGTTCGTGCCACGAACCGGTACTAAAGGTGTTGGACGGGCCCCAGACTGACAATATCCTGCCACCACTCTCTTTAGTACCGGTTCGTGGCACAAACCGGTGCTAAAGGTTCGCCATGAACCGGTACTAATGAGAGCGGCCGGCTAGCCGTTGGAACCGGCACTAATGGACACATTAGTGCCGGCTCAAAATCAAACCGGCACTAATGTGTCTCAGATTTTCCCCTTTTTCTACTAGTGACCCAAGGTCTAGCCTTTATTGGTTGAACCTGGCAATGGTCTTGTTGAAGACAATGTTTTGGGAAATCGGACTTTCTCCAGAATGAAAACCTAAGATCTTCGATCGGGCGACGACAACCCTTGTGCATTGTTTCCTTCTTGGAGGCGTTGCTTATGGATAACTATTTTTGTAGTCCGGGTGTTGTCTTTGGTAGTGGTTAAGTGTTGTTGCTACGAGTGATTGATCACTGTGGCAAGGTCTTTTTTCTCCCTTTATTTTCTTTTTTGGCTGTGTGCATCCTTGATGTCTTCAAACATTTCGTTGGTGCGGAGCCCGAGTGTAATTGGTATCTTCGTGATATTAATATATTCCCTTTATCAAAAAAAATACCACTAGTTACTTGCTTATAAAAAAGATTTGGATAGATAAATTATTAAGAAAAATATGCGGAAATGCATGTTCCTTTTTAAGAAAACATTAACCATTTAGGTGAAAACAGTTTCACTATCTGATGGTATTTAGTAAAAAAAACTGTTGATCTTGATATTACCTAAACTCATGTGTTGATGCCGTACAAATTTGATTAGCCTTGAAAGGATCACTTGAATATTTTGAAAC